ATGGTGTTCTGTTGTGATTAACTTAACTAATGAAAATTTTGAAGATGATTGGTTTAGTAGGCAACTGTCTTGTTCTTTAGACAATGAAAAGATGTTTAGATTCTGTGAGGATAAACGATATTCTACAAGTATTATGAAATTAAGACATTTTAGATTATCAAGACATCCCATATTGTTTTCCTTATCTTTAAGTAAAGAGGTATTACTTGTAGACATGGAAAATGGGAAGGTTCTAATTGGATTTGGAGCATACCATGGAGAAAGAATTTGTACTCTTCTATGTCTCTAAATTGTATTGCTCTACAACATATTTGAATCATAAGAGGTAGCATGTTGCAAGAAAAAAATTGATTTGATGCTCTATCTTGTGATTATTATGACTGTATATAGATCAATGTATCTTTAAAAATACAAGTCTTTGTATTGAGAAGGTGTTCGAGAATGTGAAGCAAAGATCTTAGGAGTTAGATAAGAGCAAGAGTTAAAGGAACCAGTTTCTCATTTTATCATTGGAATGAGCAACCTATCTCGTGTTTGGAAGAATTGTAATAATCTTACTTTCTACTAGTGTTTGTCAATTAGTATTTTTTTGCTCTTTTTTTTGGTCTATCTAATTTTGAAGTTGCATTTGCATTGTAGGAAGATATATTTTGGATTTGAAGATTATGTTTTTGTTAATTCTACTTTGAGAATCACATACCTTTGTTAATTTTGCTACTTTTCAATCTATCTAATTTTGATGTTGCATTTGTGTTGTAGGAAGATATATTTTGGATTTGAAAATTTTGTTTTTAGTAATTCTACTATTGAAAATCCCATGTTGTGATATTCTCATTAATAGTCTCATATTAATAAATTGTTTTTTTCTTTCTAAAATAAATAAATAAATTACAAGATGTGATTTGTGAACAACTCTACAAAAACACAATATTGACCGAGCGCTGTAAAGTCGTTCACAGCCGCACCGCACTTTATGAATTCAGTTTGCATTCACATGATTGATCATAACACCTTTCTATTCCTCACACCGTCTTTCATTTTACTTTCAAACCCCAAATATCTAATAACCACTTCTTTTATGGCTATTGTGGACCTCATCCATTACATTTGTTTTCTTTCTAAATTGGAATTACCTACCTAATTTCATCTATTATTGTTAATGTGTAATTATTTCGGTTCTTCAAAAGTATTTTTGTTATGTTTATTTTTAAAGATTAAAAAAATTATTCTTTGAAAATATTTTTTTTAGTATTTATAAAAAAAATTCTTTTAATTTTGGAAAATTACAAAAGTCATATACTTTTAGCCACTAGCAAGAGAATATAACCATATTATTTTGTTAAATATAGGACTGAAAATAGATAAAAACTTTTATAGGGATTAAAATAAAATGTTATTTTTTTAAAAATAAAAGATTTAATTAAGCCTTACTTTAATTACTATGGTCAAGTTCTTTGATTTATTTTCTTTTGCTTAAAACTGTAAATCATTTTTTTCTATCCAAAATCTCCATATTAACTAAGCATTTTAAATCCCTCTCTCATGCTCAAAGTTCATCAATAAAAAAATTGGATTTATCATATAAAATTAGAACAACAACAAAGTTACTTTAGAACAAATTAAAATGTAATTAGATTCAGTGAAAAATTATATATGCCATTTGTTTAAATGTAATTTTCAAAAATGGAATTCAACTGAAAAGAACCATTATTTTCCAAATGGTTCGGTTTTTTTTATAGATGAGCTTGGTTGAGTTTTAAAATAATTGGGTTCAATTTAGAGTGAAATTGTCTTGGGCAGAAGGATTATGTAATTTCTTAAAATAAAAATAATGTCATGGTGAAAGATAATGGTGGATGCTTTAGTAAAAGATGGACAAACTTAAGACTAATAACAAGCGATAGATCAAATTATCAAGATACCCTATGATAACGGGATAACTTACAAAATTGATCTCTGTCGCACTTATTTTAGAAGGTGTACCATAAAAGATACTCGACAACATACTTAAAATTACGAATGAGACACGTAAAATTGTAATTAAATATCTATTTATATTTACACCAATTAATATCTAATTTTATTAAAAATCAAACTTCAGAAAACTATGTTAACCAAATAATAACAGGTTAACTTTAAAATTTTAAATACATTTTTTTCTTATATAGATACCCAAAGGGAGTATTATTTAGAAAATGATTTATATAATTGTGTTATTTTAGAAAACATTTAGGTTGCGTTTAGAATACACATTAGAATGAGACGAGACGTATGAGTTATATTCTCTGTTTGATGAAATTGAAAGAAAAAATAGAATAGGACACATGATTAAAATATAAAATACTTTTTATTAAAAAAAGTGAAATCAACTGGAAGGGAACAAGACATTTTATTAAACATCTTTTAATAACAAAATTAGTATTCTTTATTTTTATAACTCTTTCATTGCACACCTAACTAAAAAACACAACTAAAAAATAAAATCTTTGTCGTAATTCTTTTTGTTTAACACTTTACTGCTCTTTTTCTCTTTCCTTGCACTGTTTGTTACTTACGGTGTATACAAAAACAAAACATATTTTTTTTCTATCATTGGAATTTATGTAATTTACTATTTGTATCATATAGATTATTGATCATTTGAATTACTCTCATTTGCTAATTGTAGCAACTTCGGTCGCGACGGGACGGTGAAAAATAAATTGAAAAAGAGGAGTCGCCACCAATGTTATTTTTTACGGAAAAACATTGGAAAAACCATAAAATAGAAAATAGTCTGCGAAAACCAAATTTTTGAGTTCGGGAGTCGATTACGTATGAGGAAGGTATTAGCACCTCACAACGTTCGTCCTAAGACGATTACCTTTAATTAATTAAACTAATTATTTATAATTTATAAAATATTTATCTCACTAAAATTATCAAATATATTTTATTTAACTAATTTAAATTATGCATTGAAAAAAAGGTTAAAATTATTATTGTTATATAAAAAGGAGGATAATATATTTTTTATTTTTTGGCTCGACAAGATTTAGTTCTTGCTCCTACGTATCTTCATGTGTAATGAAGAATCAGAGTCACGTAGTTCTTTGGTAGAAAATATTTGTGTGTTGATATTTTTTAATTAAATTTTATTTTTGTTAAATATAGGATTCTTGAACTGTCTCAGCTCATTCACCCTAAAAATATAAAATTGACTAAGGTGTACACCAAAGTCAATTCAATAAAATTATAATTATAATTATTGTTATAGATGTTATGATCTTAAAAAATTTCTTGGTTGAACATTTTTGTTTTTGGAGAAAAAATTTAAAGATAAGCTGTCACAACTTGTACTTTAAATTCAAAGGTTAAAAAGATGTCACATCTAGTTAACCATTCCTCCAATAAAATTTTTGATACAATAATTTCATATATTTACATTAAATATTATAACACTATATTTTGGTATTTAATCACATTTTGAATTTAAATAAGAACTACTGACAGATATAAAAATAAATAAAAGGAATGAGTTTAATATACTCACAATTCTTCGCTACAGTAGCAGTAACTTGTTGGTCTTTTCCTTTGGGTTCCCCCTGGTCCAAGGTGGAGATATGTGTGTGTGGGTGTGTGTAGGTGTCTTTGGGAAGGGGAAGGGCCGCTATTTATAGACTTTCAGGAGGGACCGGAACGGCCCGTTCTGAATCCGGAACGGCCCGTTCCGGGGTTGCAATTTTACTCACAACGGCCATTTTCGGAACGAGCTGTTCCAATTTCAGAACGGCCCGTTCTGGACTAAAATTTTTAGGTATTTTGGTAGTTCGAGAACGGCCCATTCTGGGCTAAAAATTACAGGTCCTTTTTTAAGGTTGGAACGGCCCGTTCCAGTTTGGGAACGGGCCGTTCCAGTTTCTGGGAACAGCCCGTTCTGGGCTAGAATTTATAAGTCTTTTTGGATGGTTGGAACGGCCCGTTCCAGTTTTGGAACAGCCCGTTCCGGACTAGAAATTTCAGGGCTTTTTGTAAGGTTGGAACGACCCATTCCAGTTTTGGAACGGCCCTGGGCTAGAAATTTTAAGGTTTTTTGGAAGGTTGGAACGGCCCGTTCCAGTTTTGGAACGGCCCGTTCTGGGCTAGAAATTTTAGGATTTTTTGGAATGTTGGAACGACCCGTTCTTGTTTTGGAACGGCGCGTTCTGGGCTTGAAATTTTGGGGCTTTTTGGAATGTTGGAACGGCCCGTTCCAGTTTTGGAACGGCCCGTTCTGGACTTCTGAAATCATATGAAAATTACTAAATTACTCCCATAAAAATATAAAAAAATGAAGCGTTACAATTGGCTTCCATATTTTTGTCTTTTTTATTCTTTCTTGTATATACCTTTTTTGCTATTTTTTTTTAAACAAAATTAACATTTTCCGGACGAAATTGGGTTACTACACTAATAGAAAAAATGATAAACTCATTCAAATCAAATCAACGTTGTTATATAATAATAACAATATATTTAAATTAATCATATTTTATAAATTATATTTTATCAAATATTTCATATTTAAAAATAATTATAAAATAAATATTAATATATTAAAAACTTTTAAGAATATTATATAATAATAGTTATAAAATAACAAATATGAAAAAATGTTATATTCTATTTTGTTTAATTTGTTATACTTAACTAAACATTAAACAAGATAAAAATATATATATATATATATATATATATATAATTAAATATAATATTTTATTCTGTTCAACAAACAAAACAAACACAAAATAAAAGAACTAATTTCATTCGGTTCTGTTGTTATTAAATATAATATAAATACATTATTATTCTCCTCCATTCTATTTTATCCCGTTTTACTATCAAATGTTAACTTAGATTAGAGAATATTATTGTAAATACTTTTCTCACACGTCTCCATTTAGAAAAAAAAAAAAAAATAGTAATGATTGTTACCTGAAACGTGCGCGTTACGTTGCAGTTGTAATATGTAATGTAAGCAGGAAATTTCTCCTCCTTCTTCTTTCTTTGAACCTTTTCTGTGCGACCATTTTCCACTCTCTTTTACATCAAACACAATCCTTCCAAACCCCAATTTCTCAACCCACGCCAAAACCATGACTCCTTCCCTCGCAATTCTCCTCTCCCTTCTCCTCCTCCTCCTCCTCCTCACCCTCTCACACGCACGCAACCTCCAAACCTCCTTCCCCGAGCCCCAACCTAAATCCGAACCTCAACCACACCAACACGACACCGTTTCCTTCACCGTCGACTCCCTCGATCCCCTCCCTCTCACGCTCCTCCGCTTCCGTCCAATCAACCGCCGCTTCCACCCGCTCCCCCTCGGCTCCCGCTGCCGCCACGCCCACCGCCGCCAGATCGCCTACGGCAACGACATGATCCAGCTCTCCCAGATCCGTCCGCGCTGGGCTAGGGTTCACGCCGCCGACGTCAACGCGAAGTCAACGGCCACCGTGGAGGACCACCGCGACGAGCACCACCGCCACAACCACCATCGCCACTACCACCACCACGTCCGCGAGGAGAGCTTGTTCGCGAAGAAGATTCGCGAGTTTTTGAACCTCTTCTGATTTTCCCGACGAATGATGCATATATATAGTAGTCGTGTTATGTGTGTGAGCGATGTGGGAAGCGCCTATGCTATGTAGCGTTTTTATTTTTCTGTTGTTTTGGGGGTATTTTATAGAATAATTTGGTCTTGTTGCCAAACAAACTTATTTCCTACTGTTTTTGCTTCATATATATGGCACTTGTTGCTAAAATATTAGGATCGGTATAAATTTTATAGCAAAAATTAATGTAAATATTTGTTATTATTGTGATTTTTAGTTTATTTGATGATTTGATCTTAAGTTGGTAATTGATGGTGGTTATATGAGTGGAGTGTTTAAGTGATATACTTGACTTATGGTTATTGAGTAATGGTTTCACAAACATGGTGGAGGAGAAATGGAACTAGCTATAACTTTCTGAACGGAGTTTTTATGTTCTCAAAGAAAAAATTGAACTAAAACCTAGACCCAGGCCTGGTGCTGGTGCCAGTAAAATCTAAATATTATTTTAAAATATTTTGATAACAATATTGATTAAACTACAATAAAATAGATAAAGAAAAACAATAATTAATTATACATTCTCTAAATTCAAATACAAGAAATATAAATACATGACTAATTAAGTTGACATACTGTCTTTAATTTGATCTCAGATGGAGTCTCGAACAAAATTCATCTCCATTGAAGAAGTCACGATTAATTAAAGGTAGAAATTGATCTTCACCAATACAATCATCATTTTCTTGCTCCTCCATATTTTCATTTTGACAATGCAAAAATTCAAAATTAGTTTGAGATTGTCTTCTAATAAAATTGTGTATAGTCATTGTTGCAACAACTAATTTAACTTGCTTTTTAAATTTGAACTTAGGCATGCAACGAAAAATTGTAAATATATTTTTTCATACCCCAAAAGTGCTTTTTATTGTGTAGCTCAACCTTGAATGATAATAATTAAACACCTCATTGTAGTTTGCAAATCCATTGAACGCCTAAATTCTGGAAGGTGGTAAAGTTCACTTTTACATGGACCAATATGTCATAAACATTTACCTGGAAGTGGATGTGGAAAATTAATGGAAGGAGTTGTGAGGGCATTCTCAAATACACACGCATCATGTGCAGTGCCTTCCCATCCCAGTAATGCAAATGTGAAACACATGTCCCAATCATACACAATCATTACGATGCCTTTTTCTTTCAAAAAAATTTGATTGTTCACTAGGACTAACCACAAATGAAATATAAGTACCATCAATTGCTCATATAGCATCCTTGAAAAATGGCCAATATTGTTAATCGTGTTCAATTTTTTTATGAACATCACGGAACGCTTAATGTATTTGAAGGCTAATCTAAGACATGCAATTAATACTTGATGGAAATGCCTACTTACAGTTTCTCCTAAATGTTAAGACCTTTCTTGTATCATCATATTGCCTACTCCATGACCAACCATATTTAAGAACATTGCAACCATTTCTTGAATACCCATTCGCTTAGTTCCTTTTAAACCTTGTTCAACCAATTCAATGCAAAGTTGATTAAATACATGCTTTTCCATTCGAAACATCTCAACAACGAATAGGATGCCCATTCAAAATGTCTTGCACTCATAAATGACCTGTTTGTTCACTAATTCTACATGATTCTTTACATAGATATTTTATAGCATACTCACTAATTAATGCAGTTACATCTTCAGCCTCTCTTATATTATCTTATAAAATAGAAAGTAAGGTAGATAAAATAGAAAGTAAGGTAGATTTTTCATTTTGATCTTCTACATATTGTCATTACAATCCTCCATTGATCCTCTAAACTTGTTACTAGACACCAAACTTTTCATTGATCAGTTGTTAAAATAAATTAAAAATATAAGATACATGGTTATTTATCCTGTTTAGTATTTGCATAAAAGCATACAACCAGTGAAGCATACAAACAAATCTTCACTATGGTTGTTTCATGTTTTAAAATCATGCAAGTAAATATCTTAAATCTTAATAATATAAATTATAAAGATTATTATAATCATCTTCAATTTTAATATATAGGCCATATATAAAAAAAGAACACAAATGTACTCACAAAGTTAGAATCTCTATTATTAGAACCAATCTATACTTTAGTGGACACCTCTATCCGAAGTCAGCTAAATCCAATTCATTCTTAAATTTACATAAAGACACCAATTAAGATAAAAAAATAAAAAATAAAAAACTTAAATGCATATGATTGTTTGAGATACAATTGCTATCAAGCTTCAATACATTAATCCAAGCATATGATTTCTTATTATTTAATAATACTGCAAAATTGTTAACATGGAATTGCTTTCTTGCCTGAGACATACGATTAACATGGAATCACAAGTTAAAATAAAAATCATCATTGCATCATGAGCTATTAGCTATCCAATTTAAGCCACGCGGGAAAAAAGGCTAATTAAAGACTAATCATTTTCAGGGGCTAATTCAAAGCATACAGTCAAAAAAATAATTCAAATTTACACTTGTGGGTAATATCACATCCTACACATGTCAAATAATTATGATCCCATTAAATCAATAACCAAAATCTGATTCATGGCACATTTCTCACTATTGCAGCAGAAAAAGAGTGTTGTCTTAGGAATTTACTAACAGAAATAGATTCAAAAATTTTATTTTATTATCATGCCAAGATAGTAAGCCAAATCCAAAAGAGAAGAAAAACATAGAAGGAAAATATAAGTCATATAGGATTTTAATTTCTACTAAATATAGGTTGGATAATATAAGTCATTAGATATTCAAAATAAAGTTTACATAATCCTAATTTCCATCATATCAAAATACAAGTCATATAGGATTTTAATTTCTTCTAAATATAAATAGCATCAATCCAACACCTAGTAATCTAATTTTTTAAAGATGATAATATATTATATCTAGCAAACTTCAGCCAACCCAATAATCTTTTCTCACGTCCTTTCAATGCAACAAACATTTTCCTAACAGGTTTGGACAATAAATCGGCTGCACCAAGCGTGTCAATCCTCATCACTCATAATAGTTTCCATTTTGGCGTTTTCATCTGCCACTTCAACAATAGATGTGCCACTAACTACTAGTGTGTTTAAAGTAGTTGAATGTGACTTAGAAGCAGATGCAGTTCTATCGATTGCATCAACTATTTTTTTTTAGAAATAAGAGTTTTCACCTTCGTGCTTTCATTTCCAATCCTTTTCCTCTTTTGGGTGCTCTTTTCGCTATTATTTCCTTGAGTAGTGATTAAATTGATATTTCCCAAATTTGAGCTTAATCCAACACTAGGAAGTACTGCTTCACTATCCCTTGAACCTTCCTCTAAGTCTATATTGACACTATCAAATTGTGGACGATATACATTATTATCCCCATCTAATCCATCTGGTAGTATCCCAGAAGAAGGAGCGCAACTAAATTTTTCAATAGCTACCACAACACTGAACAATGTACTTAGCTCATGAGCAAAAACAAGTCCTTTATATATGAATTTCCCGTATAATGGATTCTCTTGCATGTTTACAAGTAATCAAAATAATATATTACGCAAAATCAATATAAATTTTCTAACTTCTGATGCATTAAAAGACTTCGTACCATTTGCTTTTTATCCCACCACTCATCTGATGCATCCACCATATTTATCAAATTATCCATCCTAGTCCAGTCTCGTTTCCAAACAATTTGTACCATACTGACAATTCTTTCTTAAGGTTATCCCATTTGTTTTTGAATTGACTCTTGCCATATTTTCTTCCGATTTTAGTATTGAATTCAGATTCAACAACTTTCCACCTTTCTTGGTAAGGGTAGTTCCACTTCATTCTCCTTTATACACTTGCTCCAAACATACTTTAATATAAATTTCAGTTGTCTTGACATCCCATGCAACCTTTACCTTATCACCTTCATTATCTATAGCATAAGTCTTTGAGTTGCCTTTTCTGTTGTCGTTACTCATTGTTCTATTATAAAAGAGATATCAAGATTTATTTGTAAGGTTATTTCAAGTTTAATGTTTGTATAAGTTGCCAAAAAAATAGAATAATTAGTTATACATCCCCAAAAGAAATAGGTTATGTTTTCTTATAAATTTAGGAATAATAGATCATCACAAAAAATGAGTGTTCACATATTGTAACAAAACATTACAAAAAGGAATAACAATACAAAACAAGACATGAATTGAGCAATAGATCATCACAAAAAAAGAAAGCAACAAAAAAAAATGAAATGGAAAAAAATGAAAACTTACCAAGAGCAGAGTGATCTTTGTGAACAAGCTTGGAATCACAACCTCAACGAGGTTAGCAGCTCAAAACTAGCAGCATGCATGCGGGAACCTAAAACCAAAGCACAAAATTTCTAAATTTTGAAACCATAGTCATACCCAAATTTATGAATCTTAAATGCTGGTAGGTAGAAAGGTAATGAGGTCAGAAAATGATTGTTCAAAATAATTTCAACAAAAAAGGTTAAAACCTGTTAACGTTAAAGTAAAAGTAACAAACCTTTTACTTCAGCTAAAATGGAGGTTATAACAAAAAACCTGTTCAACACAACAAGGAAGAAGACAACCAAACATATTGGTGTGGTGTTCTATGGATCGTCAACCAGCGTTTAACTATATAAATTCCCACCCAAGCATACCCTAAGATGGTGAAGAAATTACATGTTAATGAAATTTTTTACTTCTACATTATCTGCGAAGCCTAACCTAATTATGTTTGATTTTTTTAATAAATATTGAAAAATCAATGAGTTTTATTTCTCCTTTTTTAACATATTAAAACATGAAGGAAAAAATAAATAAAAATTGATATGAATATATTTGTAACAACATCAAACATTGTTAATGATAAATCAAATTCTTGAAAAGCAAAGTTTACATATCTAACAAAAACATCAAAGTCTTAATGTTTTTAAAATTTAAAAGTCCAAACATAGATATCAAACATTAAAGTCTTAGAGAATTAGGCCAATGGACCCAACCTTTTTAAGTTTTTTTTTTTTTTTCATCAAGTTTGTTAGGCTTTTTTTTTTTTTTTTTAAATTAAGTTTGACTTCTTTTAATTGTTTTTGAAATTAGTATAGCATATAGTGTACCAATGTAATAACAAAAAATTGTTGTTCTCACACAGGCTACTAGTTCACAAAGTTCGCGGATTTTGCGAGTCGAGTCAAAAACTTTGTTATGCTTATATGAATTTTAAAAAGTTGGGTTCATATCTGCACGAGTCGCAGGCTAAATAGACCAACTTATAGGCTTGAGTCCATATACTCACCCTACGTGTAAGATGTGAAAATAATTGAGTTTGTTCGGTAAGATCAAATCACTTAGACTACTTGGATGTGTTAGGAAAATTTTATAGGTTAATGTGTGATTACACATTAATTGAGGAGTAAGCATATGATGTGGTGTTATTTAGTATTGTTCATATGCTTGTTGATTGTATGATGGATTGGTATGGTTGTGATGCATATGGGTTTGTTGTTAGTATTTGATGTGAATCATGAGGTGTTACTTGGTTAGTTTACATGTTGGTGATTAGTATAAATGTTTTCTTTCTATACTTATATATTTTTTTTGAAATCTAGCCTACGCTTCATGTTTTTCTGGTGGTTGAATTGCGATGATTATGATTCTTCATAGGAGTAGAGCAAGGTTAGCTAGTGTGTAGAGGTGACCTTGGTGAGGTATTGTTAGTGATGTTTTTTTATTGCTTTTGGTCTAATTACTTGATGTAACTAGTTGTACAAATGTTGCTTGATCGACAACTTAGAATTTATACTTTACTTTCACTAAATGATTGTACATATACTATATATACTTGTAGAATTATTTTTAGTTTACACTTATATTTGTATACATCCTATATAGTGTGCATATTTAAGTATTGTGAGTATATAATCCTAGGTAGAATTGTTATACTTTTTGCTCCTAGTTGTTGGTTTCATCAAGTGTAATGACTATCACATGATGCTACAAATATGTTAAGTCTACCCTGATTTAATATCTTGAAATATGTAGAGTAAGAGCAATTACAATTATAGAATAGGAATAATAATTGTCAAATAAAAGTATACTTGAAAAAAGTAATTAATATCACTCGGAATGTGTAAAACATAAAAAAAATATATATATACTTGAAAAAAAAGAAAAATCCTAAAACATAAAAATTATGTTTTGAAGGAAGTTATGGTTTGTTTTTATTTTTATTTTTTTTAACTATATTAATTCGAAATATCCATTTCAGACTAGTATTTATCGAGAAACTTGATTAATCTATTTTTAATGTAATTTTCTCCTCCAATCACATTTTTTATATATACAAAATTTAAATTCAACACATTAAGATTATATCCAAAATTACTATAAGAAGTTCCTATTGAGAAGATACCTTGTACAAAAAAAAAAAAAATCTTAGTTATCCAAAACTTGCTCTTCAAACACCCCAATTTGCTGTTGACCCACAGTTTGCTTACCAATTATTATTATTATTATTATTATTATTTATTTTTTTTTTTTTAATTTTTCCTAGTACAAATCTCTGTAGATCTTCTTTTTTGTTGTACTAAACATCACTTTCAGCTGTTCGGAAAACTAATATGCTGTTGTTAGGTAGAGCCATGTGTTGTTTAATCAGTCAAGTGGGTCCCTTCATCTTCAAATTAAATTCTTACCTTTTTATCGTATCCATGAGCATAGTTTTAAAAACCGGACCGGTCATCGAATCGATTAAAGTATTGGGTCAGTGGGTTAAAGGTTGAACCGGTGGGTCACTAGTTGAACCGTATGGCTCGGTTTTTATTTATTTTTATTAAAAAAATATTCATATTAAATATATTTTATACTTATAAATTTTAATAAATTTATATCTTATTTTAAATTTCAATTTTTCTATCTTATTTAAAATTATTTTTATTTTTATTTTGTAAAAAAATATATAAAAAAATTACATGTTAAACTGTATATTAATACAAATTAAAAATATAAATAATATGTACATATATAATAT